TACCAACTGACATCATCGCTAGTCTCCCAACAGGGTCATAACAATTCCTGGAAGTTTCTTCAGCGAGGCAGTCTAAATTCCAGGAATTTTCTTCAAATGTTTGATGAAATGTGTCCTGACAGCCGTGCTGGCAAGACTCGCACAAAAGTTTCCCTAAGCTGGTTACCCCTGCTAGCTGTTGTTATTGTTGTTCATTAATGCCGCCGCGGGTTAAATGGCGAAATTTAAACTCGCAGCGAAAATTGCGTTCCACTCCTACCCCCAGACCTATGCAGGGTTTCTTTGCTTAACGCACCACACTCAATAGACAAACAAATGTGTAAAACGGCATGCCCGGTATGTGAAGAACCTCTGGCCACAGGGGTAGTTAAAACCCCGTGACGCATGTACCTCGTTCTCTACTCCGCTCTCTTCACAGCGAGTGCGAAATATTTCACTTGTTTTGGCTGTTATTTCCGTACACGAAATTGGACTTTTTAATTGCCTGTTAGTTCATTTGGGGGTGGCTAGCGGACTCTAAGAGGAAGCGCCACATGTGCTCAGGGGTTGGTTGGTTGGCTCTTCAATGGCTTTACGGATTTATTTTTGTTTGGACAACATGCGAAAATTCGTGAAATTAACTCATAAAATGCTTAGCCCATTAAAGCTGCCAGGAGTCATAAGCCGGCGCTGCTGGTGTTTGATGCTTTTGCTTAGTGGTGGATTTTAACGGTCCAAACCACCTTTAATTGACTTTAATATTTATTACATACAAATGTATTGGATTATTGTGCCAGCATGATACGACGAATATACCCAGGGAAGAAAAAATAAGAGGAAATGTAATATTTATCTACCAAATAGTTCAAAATAACTAATGAATAGGTCTTTAATTATATTGCATTTGTACTTATTGTATTCAATAATCGCTTAAAAATGTATAGTTCTAAATATTAATAAAAAACCCTTGACTAGATGCGAAAATTAGTGGCGAGAGTAAAACTGCCACTACCAAATACCTGTTGTATTACTATGAAGTCCCATCCGAGATATATACTTGTATATATTCTTAAGTTGAATTTCCTATTTAATGCTCACAATATTTTAAATATCACAAATTCGTTTGCTTGCTAACTTAATCTATTAAATGAAACAGGATCAAAAAATATATTTTCAAAAAACTCATTCAATTCACGTCAAATCTTGATATGCACTGCCAGTACGGAGTTCCTTCTGTTTATCTCCCAGATTTTAATAATACATATTATATTTCGTTTTAGGAATTCGCAAAGCAATAAAATAAATAAAAAATAAATTGTTAATGCTTTAAAGCTTTAAATACTTATTAGGCTCAAATATTATTTTAAATCCCAACAATTGATCTCAATTTTAATTTATTTATTTATTTAAATAAGCTATAAATGTATTAGAATTGATCAGTCTAAGCTATTTTTTGTGGGGCGGTATATACTTGGATGAGAGTGGTGTGCCTGAAAAATCGATCAATATTTATTGCATACAAATCTCAAACTGTTTTGACAGTGCATCTCCATACTAATCATGAACAGGAAATTTTTACCCTGTTCTTCTCTGTTCTTTATTTCATCAGCAATTCAATTTCAATGACCAGCCAGCAATCAACACAAGTTAACTCGTCTTGCATAATAATATGAATTTTTCAATGAATTGACGCCTCTTAATTAAAGCAATTAACGCGCGCTGATATTTCCAAGCTCTCTGTGTTTTCTTTTCTTTTTTTCTCTGACCAATTGAGGCAGCATACTATTTACATTTTAATTGACAGAAGTTCTAAATGGCTGTATGACTGATAATAATGAAGAGCGTATTGGGGTACAACGATTTTTTCTGAATTTTGCACCTGGTCGTGCGGGCAATGAACTTTGCGAAACAATGACCGGCCAGCATTATCCTGCAAGGCAACTGCATTGCTGCAATGGGCAGGATATTGCCATTGACAAATTTCCCAGCCGTTGACGAGAATGTTTTAACGCTTTCAGAGCAAACTACGCGCATTTCCGGCCACAGAAATGAAAATGAAAAACCGACAACTAAGAGCCGAGCAGTTGCGTGTCAAGCGAAGATTTTAGCGGAAGGCGCCGAATCGTGTTTCAGGAGGGTTGGGGGGGGGGGGGGGGGGGGGCGATAACTTGTGACGCAAGAAGCTTGGCATACTCGAGGCCAGAAAACTGGGTCAACGTCTTTAGCGCGACAAAAAGATTCTGCGTTGTGGCAGTAGCAGCAGCAGCAGCAGCAGCAGCAGAATCTGAAGCAGCACCACCAGTACCAGCAGCTTTACCTACATCTTCTCTAGAAGCTGCTGACCTGATTTATTTGTATGTGTGTTGCCTCGCATTTGTCATGCAAATGACTGTTTGTTGCTGTTGTTGTTGCCGTTTCTCCTGCTGCTGCCGCCGCTATAGTGGGTTTTCATTATGAATTGGCTTTGTTCGACATGAATTGAAAGAAAAAGTTAACAGGCCATGGAACAGTAGCCACTGGCGCTTAGAAAGATATAACAAACAGACTAACTCACTAACTGACCTGGCCACCCATTCACTCTCTAATTGTTCTCGCTGTGGCTAAAAGCGGACTGGGTCGAGCCGCATTCTGTTCCATTGTTTAACAAGTTAATAGTTGTTCTATTTCATTATTAATTCAACGTTCTCGCTAGATGAGTTGAGCTTCTGGTTAATTGATGGGGTTAGCGGTAATTTCAATGTCTGCCGCGGGCACATTGATTTATTAGGCCAAGTGCATGGGTTATCGTATACAACTCCATTTATTGTTCGAGTCACGAACTTCATCATCATCATCAGACAACATCGTTAAAAAACAATGAGCAAAAACAAAAAACTTCTACTTTGATTTGCCGAAGTTGCCTTACTCTTTACGCAAGCTATTTGATTATATTACTCCGATATCTATGTTTTCAAACATTTATATTTCAACAAATTCCATTAAATAACGAAATATTTCCAAATACATTTAAAGTTATATGAGCTGCTAAATGTATATACAAAGCTATAGAAAGAATAATACAGCACCTTATTCATGAAAGATATGCTACACAAAGTTGATATTACAAACATAAATCCTTAGCCAACGTAGACGTAGTATATTAATATCAATATCCTTTGGTTAATAAACATACTAAAACAACAAACAATTATTTAATAAATACTTCAAATTTTGCAATTGTAAAAAAGAATTTACTACCTAATTGTAAAAATAAGTAGGTGAAAATAATTGACCTATGAAAGTGCAAATTATACGACTATTGGTAATCATAAATAGACAAATTATACAAAAAATACAGTAAATCATAGTTAAATAAGTATTTGTTAAAAACAAGATAGATGAAATAGTAAAGCCTAAAATAAGAATTTACGTTCTTAAATCATAGTTTAAAAAGTATTTGTGAAAAACAAGATAGATGAAATAGTAAAGCCTAAAATAGGAATTGACTTGCTTTTAAAAAGATATAAATAATGTATTATTCTAAAAGTTAATGCCAATAACAATTGATGGGACCTATTGGAAGTTTTCAAAATTTTATACACATAAAATCTGTTTAAGCCAAATTTAAACAAAAGGACTTTTAGGCGAGAAAGAAAAGTGAAAAGATAATAGTATCCATATAAGTCATTTGTGGATTAAAATTATGGGATCTCTACAAGTAAATCACACAAGAACTTAAGCCTATAACACCCTTTTGTGAGCAGGGTATAAGCATCCACAATATTGGTCGTATGATTTATGACAATATAGAAGTAGCAACCATGCTCGTACAGCTCTTAAGTTTATTGACCCAACCGGCAACATTAACTTCAGCAATTGGCGCCTCATTACATGGAAGCCGCAGCCATAGCCATAGCCATAGCCAAATGCTTAGGCAGGCGGGCATCCCGCTGGCTCTTTCTTTCTCTCAAATATATGCCGGCAAACATTGGCCATTATTATTTGGTTGCCAATATCAATTCATATTCATTCAGACAGAAAACGGCTCAGTACATAATCGTACATATGTACATATATATGCGTATACATATGTATATACTTACTTATATATTTACTTATATAAAGCGATGTGCGGTTGGGCGTGCTCGTACATGTCTGGAAATGTTACGTGCTAACGGAAATTGGCAAACGTACCATAAAAAGTGGGCGGCTAACATGGGTTTGGGGCCAGTAAGTCGGTAACATAAAAAAGATACCATGTTTATTCTTGTTAGAACATTCCTATTGATTTTTATAAGGCAACTTTTCTTGGGAAAAAGGAGGGGTTTTCTTTTTGGATATAAGCTAGCTGTGAGATGCTACACGTGCGTTCGATTAAAATGACATTGCGACGGGTTGTTGTTGATTTATGTAGTCGCTGTTTATTGCAAAAAGTCTAATCTCTAATATGTATATATGTATGTATGTATATACGAGTAGAATATAACTGGAACGTGCTCAAACCAATCTTTAATGCTACATGTGTCTGTGTCTATTTTTTCTAAGGTATGCTTGCTGTGATACGAGTATGCATGCGTAGACAGAGCTTACATTTAATTCTCGTATAACATTTCTTTCTAGTAATCGGTAGATGTTTGTGGAATGTTTCAGACTTATTCTCAACCCTTTCCATAATGTTGCCTTTGCAGGTTAAGGTGGATAAGTATTTATTTAAACACAACTTCACTATCATTTTCTATAGCCATGTAAAGGCTTTACTTATTTAGTACGCGGCAGATATAGAAGTTGTTGTTAGGTGGTCTCTTATCCCCCACATGGTTATATTCGCCCTTCTTTGAAACTTTCAAATGAAAAAGTAGGAATCAATGAGTAAATGAACTAATGGTGCTCGATGCATTTCACTTTTAAAAGTAAATATTTTCAAATTTTTGGATCATTAGATCTATGCTATATGTAGCTTTAAGCTGCGCGACAATTTCCCTTATTAAAATGTCAAACATTTTTTCCCCCGCAATAAATGAGTGCTTCTCTTTTAATTGCAGATCTCATAATTGTTTTAAGAACCATCAATATCCAACAGCCACTTAGCACAGCCACACACACAGGGCCATACTTTAAGGTGTTATTTTTGGACTCAAAGCATTCAGAAACGCATTTGTTTTGCCGCAACATAAAACGAGGAGCCTGCCAAAAACCCAACGTTTGATAGCGCAGTGGCAGCGCTGCCCAAAATTTAACGGTGAACTCTCACACGTGGCGGATACCGCAGCAACCACGCCAACAACAAACACAACAAATCAAAATGACGTAAGTTTGAGTTCAATTTTAAGCAATTTCCAATCGACAGATACTTTTTTGAAGATAACAGTGTTGCGTTAATTTATGAACATTTTGTTGTTACAATGTGCTTTTCAATCTATTGTTCTTGTTGCTGTAATTGAGGCAGTAACAGCTCTCACGGCTGAGTTGATTTGTGCGAAGGACATTTCAATTATGATGATATTCAAGAAGAATAAGAGTGATTTTGAATTCAAGTTGAACCGCGCATTATAGATTTTGGATGCCCTCACAAAGAAAAATAGAGCCCAGTTTCCAACATAAAATAAGTCATGTTTTTCATGACCTCACAAAGGAAAATGCAGACTAAAATAAGTCGTTTTTCCTACGCATCTTTTTGACATATCAGATCAGAGAAAATGCTCTCTCGAATCAATTTGATTGATGATTATTCTGTTCTTCATCTGTCATAACTGTTCGACTTAAGTATTTTTAGCTCCCAAAATTACTAAGGAATTTAAAAGTACTTGGCCATAATATTCTGCAACATACAACAATAATACCACTCTTTGTTAATTCGGCGGAAGCCATTTTATAAATAATGTAAAAATAAGACATATTTTATTAATATACATTAATTGCTCATAATTAATTGACAGACATAAGGAGGCCATCGGCATAGCCATTCCACAGGAACATGTAGTCTGTTTGTAGCTACATTTGCCTGTTTATAGAGCAATAAAAGCTGTTCAGCTGCCACCAAAGATGGCCTATATGTGCCTCTTATAGGTATAAACGAGAATTGTAAGCCATATATAGTTTTATGGCTTTACATAACTGGCAGAGAAAGGTTTGGGGCAAACTACTTTTTTTTCTACTCTAGAGCTTCTTAAAAGTCAAATCAACCGTAACATAAACAATTGAGCGCATTTAATTCAAATTCATTTAATTTAGTAACAAGAATCTTAAGCTTTCCGTTTGCCTTCTTACTTCTGTGTGCAGCGTAGTTGGCAGTCGTGTATTCTCTTCTGCTACTTACTACTTGTATATATACAACACATTTTATAGCTTATTGGCATCCATAATAGTCGAACGCTCAATAGCTAAATTTATTTCATTTTGCAATTACACCGACCATCATTGGCCCGGGTCAGCGGGTCAGTTTACGGCACCTGCGCCTGTATCGTACTTTTAGTTTTTTCTTATGACCAAACTTTAACAAGCTATTGAAGCGCGATAAATTTATGTGACACGGCATGCGACTTAATTTATGGGTCAGCTGACCGACCAAACATTAAACAAAAAAAAAAAAAACCCAAAAAAATTGTGGAAACCCCAAATAACAGGCCCTAATGCTCAGCCCAACCTAAATATGGCGACGTCATAACTTTTAAAGCCATAAAAGCAAGCTTTCAACTCATTACCAAAATTTATGTGGCTTGCCGAGGCGAAAAATTGATGTCTGCATTCAGGCGCTGTGGCCGAACCCAGACCTCCTTTCTCGCTGGCACCTGCGTGGTCCTGCGTGGCCCACTTCATTAATTCCCATAATTTTGTTTTGGCTGTTTGACTTTTCTGGCGCTCGCTCGGGGTGTGGCTAAGCGCGTCCCTAATGCCGCCTTGTTTGCTTAGTCAGGCCACGGGCCATAGGGAAGCTAAACAACTGATTCGTAAGCAAAAACGTTGTGTTGCGTCTTGTTTTTGTTTTTTTTTTTAGACACTTTTCTGTTTTGGGTGTGTCATCATTTAATGCCCTCCGCCTGTCTGTGAGTGTGTCTCAGAGGAAATCCGGCTAAGGGCGGGCGTGTGCGCGCGCTTTAAAATGGCGAAAAGTTTTACTTCGCAGTTGCAGCCATGGGCCATGGGCCATGGGCCTGGTGATGACGAGATGGCGTTGGCCAAATTGTCGCAGTTACACTTGCGCTCTTCAATGGGTAACATTTGTCCGAACGAGAGCGACGACGAGCAGTGCAGGTACATCTACTTGTACAATATAGTATGTGTGTGTGTGTGTGTGTGTGTGTGCAGCGCCCGAAAGTCGACTACGAAAATGTTTTCAAATGCATCGGTCCAACACCAACTTGTGTGTTTATCTGTGCGTGCCTCAATTTACAAGCAACTTACCAACCCCGCCGATCTCTCCTTAATGGCTTGCTCCAATTGTGCATCGAGGCGTTCCAGCAAAGTGCTTCAAAACTCATGTACTCTTACATACGTTTGAATGGAAATTGAAAATGTACTATAAAGCAGTATGTAATGTGAGGGAAATGTTGGTTCAACTGCTGCATGCATTGCAACTTTAATAATTTAATAGATTTCAAGTGCAGCGGTGGCAGCAGCAACTGCAACAACTACAACAACATCAACAATTCTAACGGACGCAAACGAATATTTTTTAATTGCCAAGCAATTTTCATGGCTGGCGGCGACTGCGCGGCGACTTTATCAAATGCATTTATCAAATTGTTGTAGTAAAATTCCTTTAGAAAAGTTTTGAGAATTTCAAAAGCCATAGTGCCTGTGAGCTGAGTGGAGAAACTAATGATGATTTAATGGTGCGTTTAATTGGAAGAACTATTCAGAACCTTTAATGGTCAAGCGTGGAAAATTCTTAAGCAGCTACGCTTCTTTTGATTGATGAAAGTGCTGCAGGCTTTTAGCCGCCATGAAAGCAAAGAACGGGAAATAAGAGATGAGAACCATTTGCCATTCAATTTTCAATATTTGCATTAGACGCGTCGCGTTCCGCACTCAAAAAGTTTAACGTTTAATGACAAATAAAAAACACGAACTTTGCAGACTTTTACAGCAATATCGCGTCGCGTCGCGTCTCCTCATCGTTATCGTCTTTATAGTGTTCTTTATGTGAGGAAGCGATGAGCGTAAGCAAATCTCAAGCTGTTTGCTTTAAAGTCAAAAAACTATATTTTTCGCTGGAACGAGTTTTTATCTTATTTAACTTGTAAGCTCTAAGTGGCGGCTTTTCGGCGATATTGTGTGAAATATGACAAAAATAATAAACAAATAAGTGCCATACATTTATGCCAGCACAGTGGATAGTGCCTACAAAATGCTAAAGAGTTGAAATGGAAATCATTCTAGAAATTCTGGAATCATAGTAATACAATTTTACAATAAAAAACATAAAATAGAGGTAAAATTCAATTGAAGGCTCTATCTGCACCATTTCCTCAGATCCACGCCTTCAGATGAACGAACAGATTTAAGGCAGGCCGACAATTATTTGAAATTGATGGCCAAGACATCCACCTGCAGTTCATTTATGCAATTTTAAGCTTTAATCAAAATAATAAAATCTGGTACGGTAGCTGAGTAAGCAATAAAAACGTTAACTAAAACAAATATTCCAAGAAATCCCTTACACATTCAAGACCTAAAATGTAATGAGTTACCACCCTTTGTTATTCGACTTAGAATTGACGGATTCTTTATACATTTCATGTATTGTACTAAGTATTTCCACGCTACAAAAATCATAAAAAAAAAGCAAACCTGTTTTTAGTCATCTTCGAGTTGCTGAGAACGCCGGCTTTTTAGAAACATAAACAATTAGCATTTAATTGTTTATTTTGGTCGCACCAAAACAACGTTTGACTTCACTTAATGGATAAGTTCGACAGCTGTTCAAAAGTCCTCGAAAACTGTGAGCAATTTAACGCCGAAGTGCATTTTTAATAAGATGAACAACTTGAGACGAGCGCGTGAATGGGTGATTCGTGAGTCGTGATAGCAAGAGGTACTCTTAGAAGTTATTCCTCATTTGGCCGATTACAGCACGGCAAGTATGTGAATAGCAAACAGATAAAGTTTCTTATCAGAAGATGGCGTGAAGTTTAAATGCCATTTGAATAGATGGGCACATGAATGGATGTCGTGAGTGGTTGTGTTCTTTTAATTGCTCCTCATTTGGCCAACTTTAATGAAAAAATCTAATTTTGCAAACAGTATGTTTACAAACATAGGCCTAAAAATATGATAAGTTAATAAATGAATAAAAACAAGAGAGAACGCTACAGTCGAGCAAGCCCGACAGTGTAATACCCTGTACCCAGGTAAACTTCCGTCACTGAGTTATATGCGCCCAAAGCAGCAGCAAAAATAGGAAGAAGAAGAGCGAACTTGTTGCAGTTTGTGGGGGTTGTACTGGCGAGAATTTGTTTTGCTAATAACTTTTCTTAGAATTGAATAAAATTTTAAACAACAGTAGATATTTATTTATAAATTATGTGTGCAAAGTTTGGTTTAGGTAGCATTTGAAATGTGGATGCTATTGACGAAATTCTGCAGCGGGGGAAGGGGGGGAAAATTACAAAAAAAAAATAAACTCGTCCTTACTCGGATCTAGGAGAATCTGGATGCCAACTTTGGTTATTCTAGCTTTTATAGTTTCTGAGATCCTCGCGTTCATCCAGACGGACAGACGGACGGACAGACGGACGGACATGTCTAGATCGATTTCTCTCGTCATGCTGATCAAGAATATATATACTTTATGGGGTCACAGATGCTTCCTTCTGCATGTTACATACTTTGCACAAACCTAATATACCCTTTTTACCCTACGGGTACAGGGTATAAAAATCAAAGCTGATAAATACAAACACATAAGTATTTAACAAAATTAATTGATCACGTGCCCATCTCTAAGCTGCAAACCAGCTGGCCATTGTTTAAATGCGCTAATAAATGAAGCCAAGGCAATTGGAATTTCAAATGTGAGCTGAATAAAGCAGCTGGGGCTAATCTTGAATTGCTCAGGTGACTCAAACAAAGCGTCTCAGCCAATTAGCTGTGGGAGAAGTCACCGGTAAGGCAGTTTTGACCCAATTACAAACTAATTAATGATTGTGAGGACATCAAACAGGAACCAAATCTGTAGTACCTCTATGAAATTAGCAGCAGCGCTGCCTCCTGCTTATGCTTTGTGTCAACAATCGTGCTACTCAAAAGTCAAGATACGGCGCTTCTGTATGGGCGATGAAGCCGATTTCCGATTTCAGGCATTTCCG